AGCAGCCCGTGCCCCGGCCTCGGTAGGCGAAGCAGCGCGCCGGGCAGAGCACGGCACATTCCAGCCCCCGGGCTCCGGGCTGTTGTACAAATAAGGAAGCAAACGGTCCAAGTCGGATTGACTTTCAGCAGGAATAGCAGGTGGGTGGATGCAGGACAAGGAGAGATTAACAGGAAAAGAAATCTTATCTTTAAAACTTCAAGAGAAAACTTTGAGCAGGACTAGCATATCAGCGAGAACAGCACTTCAGCTATGAAACGGTCATTTCACAGCGGGAAATATGGTGGCATCCTTTGTTGTACATAATGCTATCAGGCAGTGCGAGAGGAGAGGCTCTACCTCTTGCACATACACATCTGTTTTTCTTCACAGAAGCAAGCTGTGAAGCTGAGCAGGTCATGCGTGTGTGTCGGCAGGGCTTTGCCAAGGCCGGCACCCACAGACGATGCACTGGGTCTTCTGGGGCAGAGCATCCCCGCAGCGGTCAGGCGACCCTGGCAGCGGCACTGCCCAGCCCAGGCTGATGAGAAGAATGATTTTCTTGGAAAAAAGGCGGGTTTCAGTTCTGTTTCTAGGTTAGGTAGCTCCTTTTACTGGAGGGGGCAGCTAAGCAAAGCACCTCGCAGCCCCCCGCCAGCGGTTTGAGCCCAGCCCTGCGGCTGCAGCACACGAGGAACTAGACAAGCTGGCCGATGTTAAACATTTCTCTTCCTATGCCTGATCTACAAAATGACAGCTTTTAATTATGGTATTTATTTCTTTAGAGGACAGCTGTCTTTCACACTACAAATTAACACACTGTTCTGAGCAGGTTTGTACCATACACGCAAATCTAAACTGGTTGTGAAGACAGTTTAATTCGGGGTTTTATTTTTTTCTGCATACTCCCACTTTTCAGCTTCATACTTTTCTTTTTTCTGGTGTGCCGAGATTGTAACAGACAGGGCTACCCGTGCTCTTCAGGATCCGGCACCACAAGGCTCAGATCTTGGATGGAGAACTTGGTGCCACCAGAATACTGCTGCCAAACTGAGAACAAATTCATTTTTGCATCGCACAGATGCTGGTTGTGCACTCACAATTACGTTGAAGGAACATAGTTCTTGACTCCCGTTAGCACTCAAGTGTTTGTGTCAAGTGAACCTGGCTACAAGCTCATCACTGGGAGCTGACACACAGAAGTCGCTCTGGAAAAGTCCAGAGAAAGGTGGGGACTGGGCACTGCCATTTTGCAATGCCACTTGAACTCCACCTGTTTACAGAGCACCTCACCCTTACAAAACATAGCCAGGCTTCCATCTGTACTGCATGAGGTGGGAAAAGAAGAAAAAGAGAAAATAAAGAAAAAACCCAACCGTCTCTGGCCTGGATTCCTGCAGATTTTCTAAGTGACTGTTTCTTTGCTACCTCGCTTGCCCCTCACATCTGCTTTGTCTGGTTGCCTTCAGTGTTTTGCACCTCTTCATTCCCACAAGGACCTGCTCTCCCCTTCCCCAGCCAACCACATTCCAGTGCAGCAAGCTGCAAGACAAGGTTCTATGAGAAATAAACCTGATGAACCTGTAACAGTTCCCAGTTTGCCGAACGCAACGCTGATTTCTTTTGAAACCAAGCAGTAGCCCAGTACCTTAACAAACTGGAATCCATTTGGGGAAGTGGTAGGAAACTCTAGTATTAGAGCTGCCGTTAATTCTCAAGGCAATAAAAAGGACCAAGAGGCCAACTCGCATCCGAATGCCTTTCATGTTGGTTTGTTACACAGTGTGATCTTGTTTTACAAGTGCTCTGTTTACAAGAATGCTGGGGTGGGAGGCGGGGAATGTTCATTTAAGTCCCACAATCACATAGGGCTACTTTTGTAAAGGTCTGATCCAGTCCTACCAGCTGCTTGCCCACCAGACTTCGCAATTGTGGAGGCTAATTAAGATTCTTCCGAGGAGCTCTCCTCTCGCCAGCAGTCGCAGGCAGCCTCATTAGACATGCTGTACCTCCCCCTCTGCCCAGCAGAATGCCCCACTGTGCTTGGTTTACGTTATGGCTTATGAATTAACCAATTGATTCCAAAAATATCGTTACTTCAGGGCTAAATAAAGCTGTTCCCTTTAAGGGGAAAACATCAGGGCTCCATGTAGAAATAAACTAATACGGTATTACCTGCAAACTCCCTTCTCTCTCACTCCGCGAGCTGAGGATTCACTTGCTGGGTTCAAGACAAAGGGAATTTATCCTGGCTTTCTGGGAAGGTGGGGAGCAAAGTCTGGGCCTGGGCAGTAAGCGTGACCTATCCACTTGCACGCAGGAAGCTTTATTTACACGCAACTCCAATTTACAAGAATTTGTTTACATTAAATGACTGTGTGTATTTGTCTGGTGTTTTTTTTACCCACTTCTCTCTCCTACTCTAAACTGAAGAAAGTCATAACAAGTATAGATCACGCACAGCCAAGAGCTGCTTGGTACTAACGCTGCGTAGCTCAACTATAGAGCAGAACACAGCCCTGCTGCTGGAACAAAATTTCAGCTGGCACCAATTCATAATATTGGACCTCCAGTATCTTTGAGTGGTTAGGGCTGCAAAAGTTTATATTCAGTTTTTAAATTGGTTTTAAACCAGAAACAAATCCAATTTAAAGCCTAAACTGAGGAAAATATAAACATAATTATGTTTCACCTAATACAAATAGTGTTCCCCTGCTGTGTCTGTGCAAAAATCTGGTTTTGATTTTTTTAAAAAGAAAGCTAACTGCAGGAGCAAAACTAGGTACTTCCAGCAGGGAAGAAACCCAATGTGCGGACATACACAGTTTCACGCTTCCAAGGATAAGCACACCGTCAGCTTGGACAGCCTCCTCTTCCTGCATGTTTCCAGTGTTTAGCTACACCTCTTTCAATTAAAAAGAATACCATCCCCTTCCCAAACTAGAAATGAGAACATTAAAACATAAGACAACTTCACTGCACAAAACCATACTATATATTGTAATAACAAAATGCTTTATTTTGGGGGAATACAAGGAAAAGTGTGACAATCCTCATTATCAAATTGTTTTAAAAAGGCATTCTTTCTTTCAGAAACATAACACTCGTACAGAAGAGGTGACCTGCAGTAAGTTCTCATTTAGCAGTGGGAATTCTTTTTTATTTTACAGCTGAAGTTGGGATTTGAATAATCTACAGCAACAAATTTTAACGGTGTCAATATTCTCCAGCAGCTCGGGGAACACCTGCCGCGCGGCACAGCCTACCAACGCAACGCCGAGATGGAGCTATCGCAATTCTCACCCAGGTCGCTTTGCAACAAACCACAAGATTTCACCGTTACCACAAGAAGACAACAAGAAAGCCACAAGGTAACTCATCCTCTCTCTTATCTCCAGAGACTTTTCATGCAAGCTCTATGCTCATGAAATTCTCGTACCACACATCTGATGACATCTCGGTACTTCACCACACATCCCCTTTGCTGGAAGCCAGGGCTGTGCTGTGAAAGGTATGCAACAGATCAAAGAAAATACAATTCTTTCCCCAATGTACGTGCTTTCTGTCCAGTAGCTTCCAAGCCAGCTGGGATACGTTTCAAAGACCGCAAATTTATACCTACAAATTACTGCTGCCCTCTCTGAACCTTACGTTAGAATTTAAGTTGTTAAAGAAAGGGACTGGGAAGTTCCTAAAATTGTCAGGCTATAAAGCAAGCATTCATCTTTTAATCCAGCATGACAACGCTTTGCCACAAGTAGTATCCATGCTAAGCAGTAAGACACACCAGTCTTACTGTTTAAAGGGGGTTCATGTTGTCTGAAGTGGGAAGGGCAAACTCTGAAAGAACTAACAGTTTTCTTTATACGGGTTAGACATAACAAATATGTCAGATACAGCAGTTAGTCTAGAAAAATACATTTAAAAAAAAAAATCTTCATCAGACCATGCTCCCTGTAACAAAATCTTTCAAAACCAATTTTACAAATTATTCTACATTAATGTAAAAAGAAAATCTTAAATTTAGCATCATGGATTCCATCAAACATCTATCTATCAAAACATGAGTTTCACTATTTGTAGATGTTAGAATTCATAATACATTTTTTCTAATGTATCCTGTACATATTAAATAACCTAAAAGGCTCCTCTTGTAGTGCATCAACGATTTAGCAAGCACACTCAGTATTTCTCCAGTACCATTTGCATTACAGTTATTTGCCCGCAAATGTAATTAACAACTAAAAGTGCACACAGTTAGGTCCCCCCTCCCTCCCCATAACCTGTCTCCCTGCTGAAACCCAGACATCCACTGGAAACATTATGCTACTGTAGCTAATCTACCCATGATTAGAAATGTATGACTAAAGTGTTCTTATAACTATACAGGAACTGAATTATATACAAGAATCAAAAGGACAGCCTGTATTTACATCAAGAAACTTCCACTACCACAGCATTATACCAAGAACTCAATACAGTGTTACAGTTGGTATTTACTTAGGATTTTAGCTTTAAATTAGTATAACACAAAACTTAGCTCAGGAAATACCCTGAAAAAAATGAACATGTTTATTAAATATGACTTCTATTATGCCAAAAGACAAATATCCGTCACTGGATATTCTTACAGGTTCAGTGTTTGAAATAGTGTGCTGTTTTATAAAGCAACCAAGAAGTTCCAGAAAGACTGTTGGGGTCAAAAAAAGGAAAGAAAAGAAAAAAAATAAAAGGGGGGGGGAAGGGGGAAAATGACAGCAGATCTCAAGTGAGGAATTAGATTTGAGTCTCTAAACCAAACTGTTAGCACAAGTTTAAGACAGTCACTGCATGCAGAAACCCCTTGGAAAAGTGTCACACAGATCTGAATAGGCTGTAATACAGAAACTTAAGATGTAACTTCACTAAATTTTTCCATATCAGTTGGTAGGACTCTTCCCTATCAAGTGAAAGAATGTTAAGATTAAATTCCAGATTATCCAGTTTGAGATTAATAGCTTTACTCTCCAAGAAATCCAGTGTATGAACCTATATTACATTTTTCCAATGCTACTTTAAAAAAGGCAAACTCTAAACTTTTCAATTCACTTCTTACATTGAACTTTTCAAAGAAATCCAAAGTGTTGTCTTTAATTCGCATTAAAGTGGTCAAACATTTCTCCTGTTTCTCCCTTCCCCAAAAGTGCAAAAAACAAGTTGCGGCTTGGTCCACAAACATAATACATCATGTACAGCGAGAGATTTTCCTTCCGAAGGAGCACTGCTGCCAACCCATCACTCCCAGTTTCTACTCCAAGAAACACGTCAGCGTCCAAAGATGGAATTTAATTCCAGTAGAATTAATTCTACAATCTGATTCTGGTATACTGTGTGGACTGCTATGTTACCAGTCTCTTTCTCTGGTTTTAATAAGGTTGGACCAAAAACTATCGCTACACTTTGATAGGTCATTCGGTTCTTTTCTCCATTTTCTACAACTCTGAAAGAGAAAAAAAAAATACAAAAAAGAGACTTAACAGAGTAATAGGATGACAGGAGAAAGACACAGTGCAAAGCAAATGACTACTCACAGTAGTTATTTAATGAGTAATCTTGTTATTAGGACATACAGCTGCTGTGATGCCTCTCTCTACAGAAAAGTTTTACTTTGAAATGCTATTCCTGATCCTCTCGCAAGCCCTCAAACACAAGGACTTGGCAGTAAACATCACAGCTGCAATACATACTGTCTAAAGTCTGTTTGGTGCTCTGCAAACTTGTATAAATACAAACTGATATATTGTTTTCATTAAGTCAAATACCGACAAGAAAAACACAGTGGTAACAGCCCCGTAGCACTTTTAATTGGATTATCTAGCTTTTAGGGAGGATCAGCAATACAAAGCCTCTCCTATCTGCTACTTACCTTTTCAGGTGTCTAAAGAGTACCTGCATAGTGTCCTGATTTGGTTTTGGCAATTGTTTGATTAAATCTTTAACAGCATGGACACGCTGCCTTGGCTCTTGTTCTGCAAAAGGATGAGGCATAGAAACAAAAATTCAGTATTTTTGTTTAAAACTTTAGTATAAAAATTGAACAGACTGGGAGTAAACGCGAGCGCACTGCAGTGCTGATACGAGATAAAACACTGCCGCCTCCTGGGCGGCCCCTGCAGCACCAGCAGGCAATTCTCAGTAAGCCTTATGGACAGTTGCAACCAAACCACCCTTTTTACTGTCCAAAATAACTAAATGAATTGTACATACTGAGCAGAACTGACACAAAAAGTACAGGTATGTTTTTCAGACTTACTAATAGCATTGACAAAGTCATTGAAGTGATTATAAGTGAACAGCGGCTCTGGCAATTCTCTGAAAAACATCTTCAGAGCTCCTGTGATGACATGTATATCTTCCCATTTACTGTCATTCAAGTCTAGTTTCTCATCTGAGAGAAAAAACCCGAATAATTAGTATTAATAATTTATCCATAAAAGCTTTTTTAAAAAAATTAACTTCTCTACTTATTGCTTTTAAAGCAGTGAAGACTTACTCCACGTCAGCCCATTCTCTGCTGGGATGCAGAGCTGCAGCAGTGTAAAAGGGGACACAGAAAAACTCAACCACTACAGACAGGGATGGCCAAACTCTGCCTACTGCACTACCGGCAGCTCCCCTACACCAAGGGCATTTTCCAGAGGGGAACAGGAGCTGCTGACATAACACAAAATTTACTGTTAGACCCTGTCAGTCGGGAAGCGAGAGGTCAGACTGTAGGTGGGCTACTGTCCTCTTCCGAGTTGCGAGCTGCCTGTTGACTCCCACCAAACAAAACACTCAGATACAGCCACACGATAGGGTTTCATACAAAGAGCATGGCAAAGAGAAGGTAAGCACCCCCACACTAACAGGCAGTAGCAAATCTCGCTAACAAGCGCTGAGTTACAATTTTAATGCTAGTGGAAGCTTAACATGCCTACTATTTTTCCACAAGGTATGAAGTTACTTTGTTTGAAATCATTTCCCCCATCAAATTCTATTACCACCTTTCCTTCAAACTACGTTCTAGTAATGCCTCTATGCCCCCCATAAAACCAAGCCTCCAGCATGCTAGGTTTTTCAAATATGTATATCACACACTAAATTCTGCAATTCTGAAGTAATTTTACTTTGAAGATGACAGTTTCCCACGAAAGACTGCAGTTATACGTTAAGAAAATTTTTTTCCTGAGCTTTCTATGAACTTGACAATCTGAAAATGCACACTATTGCAATACAGTTGAAGGTAGCTTACCATGATTGACTGCAAATCTTAGCTTCTGTATCACTGCAAGATTGCCACTAACCCGGTATAAGCCATCAACATCTAATCCTAAAACAAAGGGATAAATCCATTTTAATATCTTACACGTGTATGAATTCTGAAATCATTAGGCTGCTTCTTGATGGGTCTGTTCAGCAAAATTAGAAACAAAAAAAAACCCCTTGTAGCAAAGTACACTTGGTTCAAGAACAACAAAAAAAAAAAAGCAGGAAAGCTAAACTAGCTTTTTTGATGGGCAGGGCATATCAGAGGAGGTTTAGTTTGCTGACACAGGTTTGGCAGTGTCAAGCTCAAAGTAGTCTCTCAAATCTCCTACACAGTAGAACAGTAGTAACGAGGCAACAGCTCCCAGTTTCTCCAGTGAGACTAAGTGTCTCATTCAAGATACTTTTGGTGGGTGGGCAAGGAGTATATGGGAGGCCAACACGCAAGAACCAAGTATTTCGTGGATGTTCAGTTTTTTAATGTATGATTAAGAAAAATCAAATCAAGTCATGCATAGAGAGCATCTCAAAGTTGCCAAGGTTTACGCGGAGGAGGAATGATGTGCATGCATACTCATCACTACCCGACAGCGCACAAAACTAAAATGGGCAGCCCTTGCCTTTACAGTATTGCACACTGAACCAGAAAACTATCTCTGTGGTTGCTACTGTAGTTACTCAGAAGTGATTAGGAGGTAAAGAATTTATTTGAATTTATTTTAATTAATTTAATTGAGATGCCACTTGAACACAGCACGTGAGTCAGTGTCACTGGGAGGGTGAGTGTTGCCAGAATACCTGCATGTCCCTGTAGCTCCTCAAGGAGTTGTCTGATGCAACACAGCACAGTTACCAGCACCATCTGACATACCCCTTTTCCCCATAATCCACTAGTCATTCCTTTACAGAAAGAACTGATTTAAAGTGTCTTGGCAGTAGGAAGAGGAGTTGGAGAAGTGGGGGAAAAAGCTGTTCATTTCTGTCAGCTTCCCCTCAGGTATTTAAAAAAGGAAAGCTTCACCACTATCTTCACTGCAGTCCTGTCTTTAAAATAAAAAAGAAATAAAAAAAAAAAAGAACAAAGCAAAATAACCCTTTTCTCACAAACTGCAGATCACAAATGGAATAAAGCCTGCTGTTACAAGCAAAGTGGCAGTTTGTCCAACTGGAGTAAGGCAATGGAAGGGGTTATTTTTCCACCTCCTAAGCCGTAAGATAGCAACAGTGAGAAAGAGGACTACAGGCTGCAACTAAATGAAGTTACTGTGGAAGATGCCTTAAAATTCGCATGTAGCATCCCCCTGTAACGCTTACCCTGATTCTCAAGAGAATGTGCTCAGATTAACAGACTGTTCTATATTATAACGATGATTACGGAGATTCCATAATCCCCACAGCCAAGTCAGGAGTCACAACCAACATGTTTTCAACAACAACGTGAAGAACTCCTTTACATCAGACAACCCAGCATGTCACATGTAGCTTTCAAACATATAATTTTCTCAGTTATTAGTTAGGAGAGACTTATTTTCAGTGAAAGTAAACAAAAATTGAGTCAATATGTGGACACTGATAATCTCCAGAATTGCACAGAAGTTCACACCACAATCGGTGTAAATGGCTGCAGGGCATCAAACCAACGTCTTGTCTTCTGGCAGTCAACGCATACACAGAGCAGCATAACAACTTTTTGCTAGAAGTTTCTTTCAAGGAAGTTTTTATATAAATGATTGTTAGCATGCTTAAACCTTTCAAAAATGAATGATTGTGTTTTGACAGTCTCTCTCTTCATCTGAAGAATAAAAACCAACCTTGATGGGCTGAGCTCTTCTATTACTTCTTGCAATCCTTCTTTCCTTAGAGCCTTGCTGCCAGGAGGCTGCCCTGCCTTCTCCTTGGCTTGAAAGAGTCTAAAGCAGATCAGTTTCTCAGATATCCAGATTTCCTCCCCTCTCTCCATTTTGGATCCCACCTACCTCCCCACTCTTGACAATTCATTGCTAACTACAGATACATGTTCCAGATTATTTTCCCCAAATAAGTCTACAGCATTTTAAGGAATAAAACGTCCAAAAGTAGATAGTGCGGCAAGGAAGAGAGATTTGGAAACAAAAAACTTGAACCATACCATGTTCCTCAACATGCTCAATGCACAGCTTCACGAACTTTGGCACCGTGCTGTTTTCTCTTTGACACAAGCTGGTGAGATTGGAACCAAACACTTGATCTGGAACCAAGTAAAGAGACTTATTTACAGTGGAACAGGACTCAAGTGACAGAACTAGTTCAGGTTAAAACAAACCTCTACAAAGGGCAAAGACTACTGGATACAACTGTCACAGTATTAGAGTGAAAATAGGAAAGTTTGGAAAAAAGCTCTCAGCAGCTCCCAGCACCAAAGAGTGTCAGCAGTTACCCAAACACGAGTCTCTGAGTAAGGAACGTTTGCTACCGAAATACTTTTAATCCATCAGGAGATACTTGTAAGAGTCATATAGTCATTACTGTAACGAGCAATTTAATGGATTCAAGTGTCCTGTTACACTCCATTCCTGTTCCGAGTCCAAAATACATTTACTGTAATCTTTGTTAAAAATCTGAACAGAGATAATGAACTTCAACCAAAATGAAAGCTTTTGGCATTGCTTGGGGAAACACCCTGTAGAATATAATCTTTCATTGCACCTACTGTTTAACCCACTATTATGAATTATTTTACTTTAATGTAGAGTCTTTAACTTCTAACATATTTAAAGTTCTGACATGGATTTCTGACAGACCTTTATATCACAGAGCTCTGAATGGATGCAAGTATGACTACGCATAGGCAACCTGGTGGCAAGGTTGGAACCTAAATACAGGTATTTATAGGCGAAGGTTATTTTGAGTATTGTTTTCAAAACTACACAGTCCAGTAGGAGTGTTTTCTATCATAAACTGGAGCAAAAATTAAAATCGGCTCAGGCAGAGAACAGATTCTTGTAATGTCTCAGTGTATTTCAGCAACTTGTTAATTCCTCTTGTTCAGATTATGTTATCACCAAAATCTTATTTCAGCAATTTGTTAATTCCTCTTGTTCAGATTATGTTATCACCAAAATCTGAGACCCATTTCTATGATTTTCATCAAATATGTCCAAATAATAGATGACTTCCCCTGCTCAGATGCATGAGACTGAAACAGGGTCTTGAGACAGAGGCAAAGCTCACTCTCTTACAGGGAAGAAAGTTGTTGGGTTTTTTTAATCTGTTAAATAAGGTACGTAAGTGGCTGTCTTTGCAGTATCTAGCAGATCTTACTTCAGAGCTTACGCAAGAGAGAAACTGCTCTTGCATTTGCATCATGCATAGCATCTAGCACATTTTTCATGTTTAGTAATTTAAGCAGATTCATTAACAACGCTTGCATCTGACTAGAGCTTTGGGAAATCCAAACAGCAGCCCAAACCAACTATACAGTATGAAAACTGGCATATAAAGGTGTTACTAGCTGTACGCCTCTGAGGCCGGTGCCCCAGAACACCTCACTCCTGCTGCTGCCACTCACGCAGCCAGCTGTATAAGCAGAATCAGTAGCAAGGGACCGAAACAGCCCACGCAGTAGAAAGCCAGGCCAGCATGCAGCTGTAGCAGCTAAAGCAGTGCAGATTAGGTAGCACAAGATGACACTGGTATGTAACAAATGGATTTGCTACAATTGCCTCTGACTTTAATAATTTCTGCATACACAGGAATCATACTTTTTTCCTCGCATCTTAAAGTAATTTTTGTAATTTTGTTTTTCCATGTACAAAAACTTTAAACAGAGTTACTTCTCTGCTTAGTGCATGCTGTTTCAAGTGTGGTTTTTCTTTTTTCCCCAAAATTTTTCATTGCCTTTTCTGATCATACTGGGTTTGCCACATTTCCCATGTACTAAGCTTGTTCTGTGGCAGCCACAAAAGTACACTGGACTTTTAAATAAAGACTTCAGTATTTTTCATTCATACAGTAAAAGTAAAATTGTACAGCGCAGATGCAACTTTTAAAATTTACACCATGCTTCTAAATAAAAACAAACTCTCCATTCCTTAACACTTTTATTAAAAATCCAGTTATCAGCACGCACATGTACAAATTAAACTTGGCTTAGCATTCACCGTTGCTAATGTCAGAAGTTACGTCACTGAGCCATGACATGACTACTAAGCTGTAAAGCACAGCAAAACATCAAAGTCTGGGAATAATGCCTCCTTATCCCAAACAAAAATTTCACCACTTACAGTTAAATTATATTTGCAGATACACAAATATATCAAACACCACATGCAACAGAAGCACACCTGTTAAAGTATGTAGTTAGGTAAATCACAGTAGGATTTGGTCTGATATTTGCCTACCCATATGCTATTTTGACCCTAGTAGAGCACCACCTACAAGTCCTGCTAAAGCATACAAACAAATAAATAAATGAAGTTTTACGGTGAGTATATATAATTTATACAAATACATTAACTTAAACCTGTGCAAATACTGTTTTCTCAAAGTTTCTACGAGTGTGATGAATAGAAGTATATATTGAATTATCAATTCTTTCATAAGTTTGATTCAAGAATATCTGTAAGACTCATTGTGAAACAATTTTTAACAAGTATACATTCAAAAAAGGTTAGGGGAAAAAAGATGTGTAAGTTAAGATTCCTTTAACCTCATCCTGGTTTGCCTAAATATTTCAGTTCTCATGACATGGCATGATTGTCTGGTTACACTCAGACTAAAACACACTTGTGAAACAGAGGAGCACACACATTCAGCTCCGTACTAATGGACTTATCTTTCCCTTGTATGCACAAATGATTACCAGCTGTCTGAAGTTTCCAGCTCAGAACAGCAGGCCAAATGGATTCTCTAACTAAAAAGCACTCCAAGTCCCAGTAGGCTCCTGGGCCCTGGGTTTTCACTGCAGTTTTGCCAGTAATGAGCTGAAGGAGAGGACATCCTCTGTGAAGCGTAGTGGCCAGTAGCAGTGCTCACAAGAATGACAATCAGTCACCAGTTCTACTATACATCCAAGACTTCCGTTAAACCAGCTATATACATGTGTTTTACTCTAAAATCAACCTCATTTTACACACAAACTACTAAATTCAGCTTTTCAAATTATTTCCTTTGTTAAAAAGGTTCATTTACCCTTAATGTAGCCTTTTTCACGGACAGCTTGTAATGTAGGGCGCCGCGTAAGAAACTTCTTGAGTTTCGTTTTGGTCTTTTTCTGATCTGTGGAATCTATATTGCTAGGTCCTTTCACTGCTGAAAAGAGAAATGTGTTTAGCATGAATATCCACAGAACCAACTCTGTATTAATTGGCCAAGAAACCATTATTAAAAAAAACAAACCACCTCAACACCACATAAAAAAACCTATTCAAATTTGCAATGCATCCACTTTTTTTCCCCTTTACTTTTTGGAACTCCTTGTACATAGCATCCATTTTTCAAACCAGCAAGAGACAACCCGGTCACAAAATAAACTTGTAAAACCAAGTGTTGCTTGTGAAACTAACTAAATGGCAGCTTACATATGGAATTGACGTGGAATTTTAAAAACACAGCTATGTTTCAAAACCAGTCCTGCCTTTCATTAACTATTTTGAACGAAATAAGTACTTCTTGCAAATTACTCGTAAGGTCCAGAAGTAAAAGATAGAAAATAGTCTACCCGATTACCATATTTCTGTGCATAGGAAGAAATTTATGCGGCTAATAAAATTCAGCTCTAAAATTCTGAAGGTGTAATTAAAAATGTTTAATGCCTCTAAATGAGCCAATATAATACCATTAGCAACTTCACAAAATTGCAGTTTAATTTAATAGTGCAACTATTTACAGATACTGTACCACAGACAAAAACCAAGTAAAACAATTCTAATCAGTTTTGAACATGTAAATGGACAAAAGAATTCTTATTCAAAACAGTTTATAAAAGTCAGAGTAAACAAACGTCTAATTACTTCTGTGCATTTGACAGTACCTTGGAAATAATCCATTTCACCAGTGCCCATTTTCTCTTTTTTTAATGTGTCATATAGCAGGCGCTAAAGACTTTTGGTACTTTTTTTTTTTCTGAAGTATGATTAATAAAACATGGAAGAAAATCCACTAACTGACACAAAGACACAGAATGAACTATATCAAGGCCTGTTTCCAAGTGAGTAGTTTCATTTCTAGCTGTCCTTTTGAATTCTTCTCTATTTACACATAATACTAAAGATGCAAAAAATAAAAATGGACATCGCTAAAATCAATTAATGGAAAACTTTCAACTCACAGCGAAGTTTCTTAGAGTCTTTATTCTCTTTCTCTTTTTCTTTGTCTTGTTTTTCTACCCCAGGGGAATCTGGTACCTCATCTTCTAATCCTTCATCAGACTCGACTACCTATTGGATTTAAGATACAGTGGTTAGTTAACCAATTCATAGAGCACAGCATTAACAAACACACTTCCTGTAGACAGTTCTACAATCTACTTTTTTTTCCTATTATGATATTCAGTTGGTTCTTTCCTGAACTCTAGAAGCTAAAAATATCTTCAGAGATGATATCCATTCTCACTGGCAGAGTTACTAACCTTAAGAAGCAGTGTTTGATCATAAAACCCAAGAAACTTTTGCGGGACACTGAACAAAGTACAACCCAGCCTTTCATGATAACACTTCATTACATCAAACAATAAACATGGAATCATAGAGTGGTAAGAGTTGGAAGAGACCTTAAAGATCATCTGGTTCCAACTCCCCTGCCATGAGCAGGGACATCTTCCACTAGACCAGGTATCTAATCTAAATCTGCCCTCTTTTAGTTTACAGCCATTCCCCCTTGTCCTATCACTACACACCCTTGTGAAAAGTCCCTCTCCAGGTACTGGAAGGCTGCTATAAGGTCACCCCAGAGCCTTCTCTTCTCCAGGCTGAACAGCCCCAACTCCCTCAGCCTGTCCTCATAGGAGAGGTACTCCAGCCCCCTGATCATCTTTGTGGCCCTCCTCTGGCCCCGCTCCAACACATCCATGTCCTTCCTATGCTGGGGGCTCCAGAGCTGGACGCAGTACTCCAGGTGGGGTCTCACAAGAGCAGAGTAAAGGGGCAGAATCACCTCCCCCAACCTGCTGGCCATGCTTCTCCTGATGCAGCCCACAATATGGCTGGCAATAAACAATATTAATGTTTTTCAAATCCAGTAGACAAACATCAGTTATTTCATTTACATGGCCTGCTACAGAAGCACCTGATTAATAGGATCTACGAAACATTTCTAGAGCATTTACTTTATTTCTAATTTCTTTAATTAGAATTTTCTGTGACAGAAAATAGAATTGCCAGATGGAAAATTTCACCACTGTCAAAACATACACTGAATGCGTTTTGAGAAAGTAAATACACCAGGGCCTGAAATCCTTGCCCTGTGCGACTGTGCTTTCAGCACATTCTCGCTAAACGAAGTCAAGAGAAAATGTAGATCATGTCGTGCGGAGGCAGACACCAGAGTCTGCGAAAGCGTCCTCCCACAGCCTCCTACCTACACTGCGTGCATGACTTCAGCCGTACCAGGAAACAGGAAAAGAAACTTCCTCTGGGCGCAGTGCAACTCACTGCCTTCCAAAACCGCGGATTTCTTCCTTCATTTCTACTAAAGTGAACTTGACTTCTACGTGGTTACAAAAATCTGACAGTACAGTGTCTTTTGTTACATTGAAGGACATTTTAAAAAATAAGGCAAGGTTGCATACTTCAGAGCACTGAATGAGCAGAAGCATGACTTCATTGACTAAGATGCATTTAACTTGAAGGGCTAATGTTACCTTTACATAATCCTCATTCCCTGCTGATTTTCAAAAGCTTTGGATAGCCTTTTTATATATCAAAGATCAATATATTCAACCACCTGAATACTGTCCCTGCTAAGGATGCCTCTGTCACTGAGACCGTTTGGACAGTACTCTCTTCAAGAGGCCTCCGACCTCTTTAGGACTGTTAAATTTAACACGCATGAATTGCTTTGGAAAAAATCACCTGGAATCTAGTTTGTGTTATGGAACAAGTCTAGCCTAATAACTTGGAAATTTCTGTATGTAAAAAAGAACAGCCACATCCTTTGCAGATAGCTGTTCCTCTTGTACAGCATATTGCCAAAACAGCAGCCTGAAAGAGCAAAGAGACCAGAATCGAAGTTGTACCTTCCTTTGAGGAAGGTCTCATCACACTAGAATTAGCCATAGCTGTCCTGGGAAAAAGATTCACAGATACTATTACCATAAAGTTCTCAAAATTATAAGTTTGCTTCAGATCTGATGGATTTTTGTAGCCAAAGCTTCAGCACTGCAAATTACCAGGCAGTGTAACAATGTACATTTTACATTTTTCCCTTGTAATCTCGGGTCTCTTGGCTACCAGCTACCAGCAGCAATACATCACCATTTCCTCCAAGACTGCTGATAAACTCTCCCTATTCCACCATCACTTCCTCAGCCTAACATGTAACACCTCACTCATCTCGGCTGTATCTCAGCCTTTCCATCTCCATTTATATTTAAGCAGGGAAGAAGTGACCTCAGTTGCACTACACAGGGCAGGCAGGAGAAGAGTATTGCTGAGTGACTGCCTTGTCTGGTTATGAAGGGTCATGACATGTTCATACCAGGAAAGAGCATAAGATACGGAGCCTAAACCATGAGCACTCAAAGAAATGAAATCATTCGTATTAGCCTGCTGTGTCTGGGTGGAAAACGCCCATACGTGGAAAACATTATCAGAGCTAAGAGAAATTAAGGCCACTGCTAACATCAAAAGCAACATAAACGCAGCTTACGGGCAGCACCCAGGACTAAGAATTAAAACTTAAATTAAAATTAAAATTAAGAATACACATGAAGTCAACTTCATATGAGAGGAATATTTCCTCCAAGATCTCCTCAAACTTCTTCTGAATTCAAAGACAGTAGTAAATCTTGTTTGGCAATATCAAGAGCAAATACTTGATAGCTTTTCTGTTGATTAAATAGTTGGCATTACGCTGTCTGATAAGAAGAGATAATGTAGTAATTTGCCAGGGCTTTTAATTTGCACTTTAGTGCAGCCTTAGTAAGTGAAAAGCAGTATCAAACACTGGTTAACGTATGTCATGAAGCACTCTCTTGGCCGTCCTCCCCCTTTTACTCCCTCTCTGTCAGAACCTTCCAGGTCACTGAGACAGAACAAGTATTTGGCCACAGAAGCAAGCACATTTGTCAGCTAGAGGTCAGCCCACATCTCCTGGTTCTTAATCCTGTGGACCATCCTTCTTCCTTTACCACTATGAATTATATTGCACTTGTCACCACCAGGAACTGCCATATCCTCAACCTCCTGCCCACACTCAAGAAAATCAGGAAACGAAGATATACATGAAGCACTAGGAATCATTACATCAATTACTTTATTAAATAACATTACCTTGAAAATAGAGCCTTCACGATTCAAACACATACCTGATTGTTGATGGTATAGTTAAGAACTTTATACCATTCATTAATAAAGCTGTCATTGTCAGATTGAATTAGGAGCTCTGTTCCTTGGCGGGTTTTTAGCTTTAAAGAAATAAAAACAGGTATCATCAGAATTGATAAACACACTAGAATTTGAAAATGAAATTACCTAAATCAAAATAAACTTTTCCCTGGCATAACTCTTAGATAATACATAGCCACTCAAGAACAGTTACCAGTGAAAACAGTAAATAGTCTGCTTAAGATTTAAAAGTCTATCCCATACAGACATATTAAAAACGTACATTTCTTGCAGGTACTAAAAGACACGTACATTTGAGTGGGAAGAAAGGCAGAAAGCTCAATTAAACTTTTTTATTTTTAAGTTTAGAGAAAATTTCCTAAGTCATTAAAGTCCATATAATTCTGCATTTAAATAAAATAATTTACCTCAATAACATTCTTTTTGCTCGATTTGTCCTTTGAGGCCCAGTCAATCAGTGCCCCTTTGAGATCCACTGTAAATTCTGGCTTAGACTGATTGACACCAAACTTCTGGAGAGGAAAAAAATAAAACCACAATGATAACAAAGTTAAAAACAAAGAAATAAGCTCCTAACAGGTACACAGTCCTGCAATCCTCTAAATATAACATACATTATTTACTCTCTATACAACTTAACCCAAATACAGTACTTTGCCACAAATCAACAGGCATGATACAAGAAAAACAAAAACTAAACAAAAAACACACACAAAACACCCTTTAAGCATGCCTATTAAAAGCTGCTCAGCTTAAAGCCCTTAAAATTCCATAACTTTAAATGCCAACCAGATTCCAGCGGAGCTTTTTCTCCTGTCACAAATGCTAGAAGTCCAAGTAGCCTTTTAGTGTAGCTTGGTTTTACTCAAGATAGTGCCAAGCTTTAAACAAAACTGGCTGATACGTAACTGAACAAAAAACCCCCATTCTGTCAGTTAACCAATGGTTGTATATAAAATCAAAAATAAAACCAGAAATAGTAGCTTTGCCAGATAGGAATCACACCCCTCCTGCACTGAAAAAGCACTTTTAGTTTTTACATTTTCACTATGTATGTAGTGTATATGTATATACACACACGTGTGTGTATATATATACACTCACACATACATTTCCAACAATACTTTTCACGCTATTTTATATTTTTCTGTACTGCTTCTATTGCAATACTGGACCATATCCTAGCAAATAAACAGAACTCAATTTCACTGTCTAGCTACTCAACAAACAGCAAATAACCGAAGTCATTTAAAAAAAGCATCTAACCCACAAGCAACCCTTCAAACTATTTGGAGGAAAACATCAGGGAGCTATTTTTACCTACTACTTCTATATTTATAGTAGGTATCACTTATTTTTTTTTAAAAAGTACTTTACTAAGGTTTCAACCTACACCACATAGCTTTGAAATATCATTCCTCAAAGAAACCACTTCAGCGACCCATACAAATAAAAGGCTCTATCTGCGAGTAAAATAAGAAAAATGTGGAACAGGGAAAGCTGTAAGCCACTGGTTGTAGCACAGAAATTTAATGTTGTAGTTCTAGGGAAAGCTTATAGCATTTCATCCATCAGAAAGATTCTTTTCTGTTTCTTTAAGAAGTCTTTGATGTGCGAATGCTGTTCGTGTGACACCTCTGGGGGACATAAGCCCCCAGACACACTCCTTCCTGCGAACACGAGTTTTCCACCCTGTACGAGAACAGCCATATCCAAGGGGAGAAAAAACAGTTCAGAAAACAGAACTAATCTGCTGCTTCTGATTAAATTCCCAGCATGGGTGTTAATTAATAATAATTGAGTTTTAGAAAGGCTGTTTACCACTGGAAAATTTCCCTGCCTTGAGTCCTAAGCGCAATTAAGTGTTGAATGGAAAGTAGCATCTTAACTTCTTTATTTTACTCCAGAATGGGGGAATATTTCCAACTTACCCAATGCCAGCTAGTACTTGTGGGGGGAAAAAACCCAACCCTCTTCTGCTTCTAACTGAATTCTCAGCTATCTCATCCAAGAACATTTCTAATTAATTATTGCAGAGCTTTTGAGAGAGGCCCAGCTCAGCAGCAGAGCCCACAGGGACAGGAACCATCCCCTGGGCCACCACGGCTCTTGCAGCTGTGGGCGGCTACACAGCAGCTGCCTATTTAGACAGATTCACAGAATTGCTTCACTTATGATCCAAGTGCCCCAGCCACACACTTCCTCACAGCCAGCCTAAATCAATCTTGCTGCATGCTGGGGGAGGGGGGTGGGGAGGGTGGGGGGGGTGGAAATCAATTTATAGAGTTTGGCACTGGAGAGCTGGGGACTACTGCCAAAGTCCTCTGCGGGATCAGGGAGGGGGGATTCGTTGAAAACACCACCCAGATGATGCTGAGAAGCACAGGGGACAACCTGCTACAGGCGAAATCAACAAACAACAACAAACAGAATGGTCACTGCTGTTTTGACCAAAAGGAAAGCCTTCCAACACATTAGCTTGAACTCCCCACCTGACAGATCACAAGACTACCTCAAAACCTTCACACTCCACCCACCTTTTTGGTCTGACTCCCTTTAGCATTTCAGAGAAGCACATAAACCAAAAACTAGAAGCTAAATTTCTCAGAGGGGAAAAAAAGTAGCCTTCCCCCGCTCCTTCACACAAGCAGTGCCCAAAGTGCTGTGTGAGATCCAAGGATGGGGAGACCCATGCAAACCACCCAGGCACTCTGCAGAGCTCCTCCTATATACTAATGTATTATACACTCATCATAAACTTCATTTCTTTATTCAAGGAAATTTTAAGTTTAGCATGCAGGCTCTCCTACGAGGTTTCCTGTCAACGTTCTTTTCTGCTCCTGGGTGTATGAAAACAAGATGCCAGCAGCCACTTGCCTCCTTGACAGCTTCCAAGAGCAAGCCCTGTACAGGGCTGCTCAGATGCTCTGCACACAAAGGTTAGCTAAAGGCAATCAAACTCTCCTGAAGCAAGCAGGTTTTGGTGTAAGCAGTAAAAAGAAAACATTTCGCTTTAGCATGCTGCCACTTAAATATAAAGTCTGCTCTCCTAACACAGAGAGTGCTACCAAGTCAGCACTAATCAGGATAAATTCAGCTCTTACTGAGCGGACACCTTCTTCTTACTGGACTTCTCTTTCGAGCTGCCCAAGAAGTTCGGAAAGCGTAGCAGTGTGAGACAGAGGGAGAAGTCTATACATGGTGCTGCCAGCTGTCCTAGACATGAAGCTGTCCTAAAGTCACTTACGACATCTTTTTCTAGGAAAAAAGCTTATGCTAGTTGTAGGGCAGAGAACTTCTACTTTCTGGAAAGAGTAGGGGGATTTTTTTGCTTTAGACATAGCAGATGCTGTGTAGCTTAAGGACTGCCTTAAAGACGTATGCTGACATCAATAAATACAAGGCCTTTTCAATCTTTGCAGGAGTTTCCTCCAAGTCCTGGAAGCCCCCACAGGACAAGCCACACAGTCAGCACTGTGATATATTCCAGGGTTCTTTGGCCACAGAACTGGATGTTCTTTATGGGAAGACTTTGGATGTACAAATGACACCTGCTGTTCTCATAATTCTGTTTCTAATTAGAGCTGGGTAGAACGTTTTAATTCCAAGTCCTCCTCAGCCACGCATGGACTGCAGAAATAGAGCTGAGGGGACAGGTGCTCCTTTGTGGCTGGTAAGGGAGTTCAGAACTTGCAGCTTTAATAAAAAAAATACAAATATAAAGATGTTCTTTATTGTTATAGCAAAATGATGGAAGTTTTTTGGAGCCAGGATCTGACAGGAGTATAAGATCTGATAGGAGTATTTGCACTCCAAATAGTTTTCATGGTAATCACCTGAGCTCCCGTGTAATCAGCTGCACAATACTGATGAACTGCAGTAATCTACATACAGCATCCTTGGCTATAAACACAGTGGTGTAACACAGTAAACAAGAGTTTGCCCAGATGAACTTTGAACAACATTTATTGCCTTGATGTTTGAGAAATTTACCCGCTTCTGGTTTACTACCACTGTACCTGACACTGAGGACAGGGACCTATTACAGAAGGCTGACAGATTCATCCTTCTAAGCAGTCACCATTTGCTGTGTTTCATGGAGCCCCATTGCTAAAATCTGGCTATACCTATTACAACTCATTCACACCAGAAGTAGCATAAGCAGTACTTCTATGCTTGGCATCTACACTTCAAAACCTAACTACAGATGCTTAATTTATATATCTAAAGAGTCCCACAAATTTACATCAGCTTTCTCTATGTGGCACATAGCCAGAATGCCCTTGAGCTCTTTTCCTTTCAGCTTTTTATGCGTAACATTTACACTTAGGGGTATTCCAATCATAGCTAGAATTAACTAACAACATGTACATCATTATACCAATGGCATCATAGGCACCTTACAAACATCCTAAATTAGTTGTGTTAGAAAGAATTAGACATAACGTAACTGTTAAAAAACTGACCATATCATGCTGGTTTTCAGTCAAGACACTAGTGGTTCAAATAGTAGGCAAATTTGGGATTATAATTCTGGCACTGATGAACCAGAGACTCTTACTACTTTGTTCCATTAGAATACAGGATTACTGCAAAACACTGGGGTTAATTTGCACCTTGGATGACTTTCAGAAAACAGCAAACAGGATACACAAGGTGTTACATGAAGTGACAAAAGTTAAACCTTGGAAAAAAACAGATTTACTTTCAAGATTAGTGGCAAACAGCCTTACAGTGACAAGAGGCATGCAACAAGAACACATACAGTGATAGCTGAAACTTGGTCAGAGTTTACATAGGTGACAGCAGGTCGACGACTGAGAGCATTTTTCCAAGAAGAAAGCAGCGAGAGCAAGAGCTCAGGAATTGAGCCCCCTTGGCAAAATGACTTGATGAGAAAAAGGAAGAAAAGTGATGAAGTCACAAAACAATGCACAAAAAAAGATATGGTTATATCAATCACTAGATGAATGCTACACAAATACTCTTCTCACAAGGTGAAGAAGAAATGTAATTCTTATACGTCAAACTGCTAAGACTTGATTTCACCTTATTAGAAGACTGACACAGATCAAAGTTTGAGGGGTGAGGTGGAATTTTTTAACACCCCCAAAAAATTTCCTACAGAGAGCAAAAAGAGCTTCTGTTGAATGTTTAATTACATATTTACAAAGCCAACTGCAAGTATGCATGTATACAAGACAAAGTCCTTGAAAGCTTAATATTTCCAGCTTCACTTTATTCTGTTCATGCCATTGATATTTATTTTGCTGACCCTACTCCAATACTTAACAGTATACATATCTGACAGTCTTGTACAGAAATACTGTGACTATGATACTTTTGCTCCACTTAAATTATTAAAAGAATTTGCCTTCCACCCCACCCCCACCCCCCAATGAGTGTTTGGAAGGTGTAAAAGAACTTATACTAGTATGCCTAAGCAATAAGCAGAATTGCATGACTATTTTTTGTGGATAATTCATTTGGGCACACATTCATTCATAACATTATCATACATTCATAAACAGTACCATAGTTTAGCACCATGTGGTTTTATGATATCAACATATAGTTTTGGTGTTTTTTTTTTTATCTGCAGCTACATTTGGATTAAGAGTACTAGTAGCTGCAATCATATTTTTGGAACTTGATTAGTTACTCAGGTGCAATGTTTTACTTTCCAAACATGCGTATTTATAAAATTAAAGTACTTTTTGGATCCTTAGCTATAAGAGCAAACTGCAAGTTATAAGTTTCCATCATTAATATTAGTGTGCTGAAAAAATAATAGTATTCGTTGTGCACCGAGACTAAATATCAAAACTCACCTCAGAATGGCTGGGAATTTTCCATTTTATGAAGTAGGATGATGAAACTGAACTTGACTAAACAATAGACAATGACTGAAGGGCATGAAGGAAGGTAAAGGAATGAGTTTTAAAACCTTCCAAATCCCAGTACTCTCTGCTTCAAAGCTCACCTTCTAAGGTTCTTCAATATTTCTCCAACATACTTCGTTATAAAAGTTGTATTGAAAAAATTCACAAGTTTTGTTCATGTACCTATTGAAAAAACTTTTCTCACTGATGAATAATGGTAGTTATATTTACCTAGTGCCCCAATGTTTACAGGTGGGAAAGTTGGTAACTTTCAGATATATAGGTGTTTCTACTCCTTTTTCTGTGCATCAGAGACAAAGCACATCATGTTCTTTCCCCCTCCCTACATATGATGCGGGCAGACCTCCTTAGGTCACCAAGCCCACTTCCTACCAGACAGCGCATAATTCACCTTATCTCACGCCTTTAATCTTTATTCTTTCTCCTTCCCTTCTCTGTTCCTTCTGCTTGACCACCTTGCCCAACTTGACTCTCTCCATTCTCTTCTACCCCCAATGTTGTTATTTATCTGTCCTCACCCATTTTTTTCCAACCACCCTTTCTACAATAACAGAAGGGAAAAAGATTTTTTACAGCTCTGAAATGAACTCAATGCTTTAGAAAAGAATTGTCAATACCAATTCACTACCCCAAAAAAAGCGCAGCAGGAGAAAGCAAATCAAGCAGAAAGATCAGCAAAACACAGCAAGATAGCATGTATGTGTAAGATGCAATTTTGCTGGAATTTGTATGATAATACATTGGAATAACAAATACTGAATCTACCTTCTCTTTAGTTATTATAGGAGATCCACACAGTTTAACAGCAGACCTCCAAAAGTAGGTAAGCCGTAGATAAAGAACCATTTCTACACCTATTCACGTAGGGATGCAGCCAGATAAATATAGCCAATTTAATTATAGTGCTGTTAAACTAGAGACGATATAAAAATTGAATAATCAGCATCTTCAGTGTGATGTTTGTCTTTAGGTCTCAATCAGACATTAAAATAGATACAATTACTTCTCATGCACTATGCAGATAGAAAACAAAATATGGAATCCACCAAGGCAAAGATTAAATAAGGCAACAATACTACATTATTCAATTAGACCAATGCAACCAGACAAGGTGTCAGACTATTACCTTTACTATATGTGTAACATTCAAAATTACCAGGAGTTTATGAAAAAATATCCGAGATGGTAGAACAAACAAACTGTTTAGACAAACACATAAGTAAGGAACACAAAAATAACTGGCCTGGAGCAAAAACTGAAAGGTTGCAGGGCACCTGAATATCAGTTTCTTACTTATCAAATATAAAAGTGTTTCTGAAGTCTAAGAAGTACAACTGGTTTTCTTCTCATTCTACACCATAATTGTTACATTAAACTATTTTCCTGCTAAATTACACTTCCTTTTTCTAAATTATGCACCCATATGGGTATTTAAGCTGTACAAATAATAGGACTTTAATTTATTGTGCTTTACGTGATTAACACTTAAATGAGGGTGGGGGTTGTTCCTGAGCTTACCCAGCCAGTTCCACTTCCTTGGGTTTTAGTGAACAGCAGTGACGAACCTTGTAATACTGCCCATGACGACATCCAATTCTTTCTGTAAATATTTGTAAACAAACATAAGATAAATTGACTTTGAAAGTCGATATTTAAACTGTCGATCATTGCTGCCCAGCTGACCTGTATGTTAATATACTTAACCACATATATGGTCATTAGTGCCACCAGTCAGTCTTAATTGCTATCATACTTGCAGAAGGGAACATATGTTAACAGTCCCAGCCTGAGCATCAAAATCTAAATCAAAAAAAGCTAATTAGTAGTGGAAGCAGTTCACCAGAAGAAACACCATACAATTATAATTTCAAAGGGGCTAATCTGGAACTCTCAGCCTACTGTGTAAATAATAGATTATGCCAAAGTAATGCATAATTCTCAAATTGACTGATCACATCTAATACGCATACAAGTGTCCCACGTTTATGTAATAAGCTCATTTACGTTGGCAATAACATATTTGCTACACATCTAAAAAAAATGCAGAAAAAGAACAAATGAGTTAGTTTTTCCAGCTGTCTCACTACTTGCTTTTATGCCCGAGTACCTGTCCTCCTGAGGTTAAAAAAAGCCCTGACAGTCTCTTCCCATTGCCCAAACATGAATTATTGAGGTGGATTGAGAACTGGCTGAATGGCAGAACTCAGAGGGTTGTCATCAGCGGCGCTGAGTCTAGTTGGAGGCTGGTGACAAGTGGTGTCCCCCAGGGGTCAGTACTGGGCCCAGCCTTGTTTAACTTCTTCATCAACGACCTGGATGAAGAGTTAGAATGTACCCTCAGCAAGTTTGCTGATGACACCAAACTGGGAGGTGTGGTAGATACACCAGAAGGCTGTGCTGCCATTCAGGGTGACCTGGATAGGCTGGAGAGCTGGGCAGAGAGGAACCTGATGAGGTTCAACAAAGCCAAATGCAGGGTCCTGCACCTGGGGAGGAACAACCCCATGCATCAGTACAGGCCTGGGGTGGACCTGCTGGAGAGCAGGTCTGTGGAGAGGGACCTGGGTGTCCTGGTGGACCACAGGTTAACCATGAGCCAGCAGTGTGCCCTGGCTGCCAAGAAAGCCAATGGGATCCTAAAGTGAAGAGCTACTGCAGAGAGTCCAGCGGAGGGCTATGAGGATGGTGAGGGGAGTGGAACATCTCTCCTACAAGTAGAGGCTGAGGGAGCTGGGCTTGTTTAGCCTGAAGAAGAGAAGGCTGCGAGGGGACCTAATATATACTTACAAATATCTGAAGGGTGGGTGTCAGGAGGATGGTGCCAAGCTCTTTTCAGTAGTGCCCAGAGACAGGACAAGGGGCAATGGGCACAAACAAGCACAGGAAGTTCCGTCTGAACATGAGGAAGAACTTCTTCCCTCTGAGGGTGACAGAGCCCTGGAACAGGCTGCCCAGAGAGGTTGTGGAGTCTCCTTCTCTGGAGATATTCAAGACCCACCTGGACAAGGTCCTGTGCAGCCTACTGTAGGTGACCCTGCTTCGGCAGGAGGGGTGGACTAGATGACCCACAGAGGTCCCTTCCAACCCCTACCATGCTGTGATTCTGTGATTATTCAACAGCTCCCAAAGTGACAGGATGGCCGTGCTGCATCTTTCTGTATAGCAGCACAGAATCCAGATCAATGACTCCAACAGATGCAATATAAACAGTGACAGCATACCGTGTCAGTAGCAGTTTACATGAGCCATTGTCCACCCTTTCCCACCAAGCTCTCAGGAGCAGCTCTGAGGAACCAAACTGGGGGTCAGATGTGCTGCCCAGCTGCTCTGGACTAGGTCAGGGTGGCTCTGGAGTATCAGCTAGGTGTTGACTACTTAACTCTCAGGAAAAGAATGCTTCACATATCAAAAGTCTGAGAAACACTGAACTAGATATAGTATGGCATTAGACCTAAAAGATTAGATTACTTTTTTTACTTCTAATTTTTTTAAAAAGTAAACCTAAATTACATCTGAGGATGTGCCACACTTACACCGTATATAACACCGACTCTTTGTAGAACACCAGAAACCTATGTTAGACAGTATTACTTGAGATTATATATGGTGATTTATAATGTAAATGCCTGCCTGTGAGGCAGAGAATGGAAGTTAAAAACGAGGTCATTCATCACCTAGAGGGAGACCAACTGAGTGATACGTTCTGCTTCAAACCTTTCACAAGCAGAGTGAAGGAAGAATTAGGGTGCACATGACATGCACACTCCCTGGAAAGGAAAGGAGATGAAGTCTGAAAGCCCCTCTTACACCGATGCTATCCAAGGAACAAGATAGGCTATAAAATATAGAGATTTTCTCTTAAAAAAAATAAATCAAGCCCCTTTTTAAATGCTCACTCTCGGTACACCTTCCTGACATCACTGCCCTGGGCGGAACCCTGGCACACAGGAGCCTCTGGCTCTCCGAAGTCCATTATCTTTCACTCACCGGGAGAAACACATACCTTAGGATAAAGAAACACTGTGTCCTACATGAAAAACTCCAAGGCAAATTCAGACAAAAAGTAAAAAATTGCAAAACCCAGTATGCTGTTCTAATATAAAAGTCAGGTATCTTATACAAACCCCTTTGCCCTTCTAGAAGTTCAAGACTTACCGAACTTTCTTCCCATTTTCTGTAATTTTTGTCACATTCAATAATCCATACTTCTCTTGACCCTGTAAGACAGCATAAGACACAATAAATATAAAAGAAAACCTGTTTCTATTGTCATTGTGGCACTGAATTCAATTCCCCAAATAATCAATTTCTGTCAATGAGCCATCTTTGCCCATGTTACAACTTCAAGAAACTGTCTCAAGTATATTTAAATATGTAGAGACCAGCAAAATCAAATTTCCTTTGGGAAAGTACTCATTACCATTCAGTGAGTAAAAAGCTTTCCTTCAAGGCCTAGGTGTTTTGGCCAAGCCAAAAATCAATTATTTGTGGTACTAAACAGTGGAAGTTTTAAACATAACTTTATAATGATTTGTGTAGTAGCACATTGGTGTTTGTGTCCTTTACTAAAGAAGGAGATAACTGACAAACAAACACTCTGAATTTTCTGACAAAATTCTTCCAAGTTATTTTAACATAATTGCATATTTTAAATAAAACATTGTTTTAATGCATAAAAATATTAACATATTCATTTCAGAAACAGATGAGTGGAACGCTTCTCTGATGTCCTATTTCTTCCTATCCTCAAACAAAATATTAGAACTTTGAACTACTTAGTTATGTCTTTTTGATTAAAATCATTTATACTGGTATGCCTCTGTACAAATTTGGAGATCAGTCAGTGAATGGTGAAAAAAGTTCATTGAACAACAAGGGTATCTGCAAGTTTCAAGTATTTGGGAGTGAGTATTTCTAGTTTCTATGGAAAGGTAATAAAATATATAAAGGAATGTTTGAAAAATATTATAGGATAAAAAGGAAACCCACTGATTTATGCCATTTGTGACTCAAGATGATGTAAGAAATTCTGTTGTTTTCTCCTGTCACACCAGCCCTGTCCTACCAGCAAAAGCTGCTAAAGGAATACTAAATTATTTTTTTAATCAATTTCTCTTCAGTAACAGCTTGTAACAGTTCTTAATTTAAGAACTAAGCTATTAGTTTAAACAATCAACTAGGGAAAGGATCCAAATTAGTTTTACTATACAAAAATGCCATCAATTCTAGAGCCAATGAAAAAAGAAGATATTCTCTTCAGCATTCTCCTCTAAATCTCAAATTTAAGTGGACCATAACTGCAGAATACAATATTAAAGAAAAATTTTTTGCTGGAATACTGTGACGACACCCTTACCCAAGATGTAGGTAAAAGTTTTAAGGTTAATGAAAAACAGGCCTACATGTTTCAAGCACAGCACACAAAATACAGAAAAGACTTGTTTTCAAGGATAACAGTGTTTAGCTACTGGTTCAGATGATACCTCAGTCCAATGGTAACTGCTGCTCTTACTCAATCCAGTATCTCCATTGGGCTGGAATGCTTTCCCAAGCCAGTGACATATTCATTATTTTCCAGAAATGATATTTTTAATCGAAAAAATGAGTCGCTTCCCTCCCCCACCCCTCTACGCCCCCCCAAAAATTAGCCCATTCTTTAGATCCCTTTATTTGCGATTCACACAGACCACCACTAACAGTCCTATGCTTTGCACCCTTCTAATCAACCCTTGGCTTCAGTAAGTGGAATAGCCTGTCACCATCTTCCACAGTGACTGAGCAAATCATGTCCACTTATCTCAAATTATGGTTTTAATAAATTACTTATGGTGGAACTGGTGGGAATGCTCCAAAGAAGAATTATTCAGAAAAGTATCATAATGCCGTACTTAGCAGCAACACTAGGGGGTACTAATGGGAAAATTAATGTAACTCAGGGAAAAGGAAGTCGAAAGCTAGTTAAGGATCAAAACACACAAAAATTCACCAGCTTTCTTTGTAATATTTAAATCCCAGGAAACAGCTAAAGAAAATATAGTTTTTCTATTATCTAAAGCAGCAGCGAGTTCCTCTACAAAATACAATTTTAATAATTCACAGTCTGAGACATATTTAAAGAAACTAGAATCCATGCAGCAATAATTGCTTGTGAGTAAGGCTATCAACTATGCTTGCTTAATAAACAATGTTTACTTTGTTGTGGAAAACTGTTTGAAGAGTTGTAAGAATGGATTAGCATAAGCAAGCCAGAGAATCGTTCTTCTTCATGCAGACTAAGAGTGAAACAGGAGAAATTGTGCCTTTAATGCCCTGAGTTACCTACTAAAGGGCTGCTGAAATTGATCAAGGCACATATTTCAATGCTATTGTAGTACAGTTCCAAAACGAAAAAAATAAAAACTTTATTTTTTTAGTTCCTTCCCACTGTTTAAAATGCAATGATCAGATTCAAAATACAAACTGCAGCAAAAAATCTGAAGCATTCATAATGAGTTTAACCAGCTTAAATCCTCCTCCCAGTAGTTATTCTACTAAATCAAAATGACAGTTTACTTATGCCAGGTCCTCTATGTCAATTAAAGGAGACTGAAACACAAATAAAAAATAAAGCTATCAAATACTACAAAACTAAAACTGACTACTGACAGTGACGGATTCTGTGGAGAGGCGGAGTTTGTTTCTGGTTTTATCTTCCAAGTTGCTAGGTGAGAAGACATGGCTATTGGAGAAGGTAAACTGAGTTCTACACAATTTGACATAACTTTATTCCACAGTGAATTTTTAACTTAATCTCCTATTGCCAAGCTGTATTTAAATCAAAGACATTAACATTTTTTTCCTGAAAGCACAGTTGGATACAATGCATGCCTTTTAAAATGTAAAGCCTTCCAATAGTTTTATCCCATTATTCTTCCTCAATAACAAGCAGGCTTACCCTCAATTCTCTAATCATGAATAGCCCAGTTTCTACAACATCTACTTATCTATTTAAAGACTTTGCATACTGACTGTGGCTTGATGCTTTGGTGAAGAAGGAGAGGATTCATTTTCAGGAAAACTGGCCTTGGAAGCAGTTGATGATTCCTAAAAAATTCAAATAGGAAACATAACTTATTAACTTTCGTACAATTCTTTTAGAGTTTTTTTAACCCTGAAGATACTTTCCCTCTCTCTTTTTATACACATTCACACATCAGAAAAAAAAAATGTAGTTTTTTTAAGCCTTCATAATATTGTCAGTTATATCATAAACCTGCTTACTAAACCGAGTTCTTACAAGATTTACAGACCACTCAAATTGGGTTAATTAGCATGTAACCATTTTCAAAAAAGTTAATATGTACTGTATCAGCTTAAAGCATAGCTTTCATCCTTTTTAAGGGGCAGATTCTTTTATGACATTGCTATCAAATTATGAAGCACATTTATAATACTAAGTTATTACAGGGCACCAGATAACAAATACCAAGATCTTAAAGAACAGATTGTATCTCTGTGTGGTTAGTAAACGTAAGATTAGTACATTAAATTCTTCTACATGTAGAAAGGCATATACCAGCTCTAATAGTTTTTGTGAATCATTATTATTAATTTCCTTATAATCAAGCACTGAAAATTTCTAGAGATTCAGGTTTTTAACTAGACATTAACTACAGATCAAAAGAAAAAAGTACTAGATCTCTGAAAACTAGAAAAATTGCCCATCTGGAACAGAAAAAAAGGCACATGCACTTCCTCTGAAGTAGCGATTGGTTTGCACAAACACACAGCTGGGAAATCTGGTAAAGAATTTCAAACAGACAAAAAACGTCACTTGTTCTCTGTTACAGTTAAGGCACTTCTCCCTCTTCCCTCTTTATAATTCCCTTCGCAGCTCTCCCAAATCCAGTTTGCTTTTCCTCCATTACGTAACACTCCGCACACTCGTGCTTTAAAATTCACTTGTAAGTCTACCTACAGAAGTGGCCCCCTAGTTCTTTTAGTAGCGTAATAAAAGAGAACGTCAGCAATCCTAAGAACAGGTATGTGCCACAGCCAATAAACAATTAACAAGTACATTTGATGTTACCATATTCTCATAATTCTCATCAGCCATAGAAACCCATACTTTTGGGTTTTTCACATTTTAACACATTTCAAGCACACTTTTGATTAGCCTATTTTCATAGAATTGAGTTGCATTGTTTTTCCAGGAAAAACAAATAAGGAAAAGAAGAAGAAAATAAGAAGAAAACAGCTTCCCTAGGAATCAGCTAAAAAGCTAATTTGGGGTTGATGTGCCTGTCCAGCCAAGTACCAGTTGTTTTTCTTTCTATTTCATTCTGTATTTGAGATAGCTGTCATACACTATGCAACTCTGGAACAAGAAATCTAGTATTTGTCATCACAAACCATTCCCTTTCCACGTACTGATTTAAAGCAGAATATATAACAGCCGGACAGTGGTAATTAAACGAGTGCATCAATGCACTAAAAAAATTTTGTCTTTCCACAATACACTAGTTTAATGCTCCACTACAGATTTTTAATTTTCTCAAAGCATTACCATTGTGCTTTATATGAACTACATAGTCTCCTTGCCATTAAAAAAAATGCACACTGCCTGCATGTTTTGACGCTGTTAAAGAAACTTTAAGCTACCGACTTAGACTTTACAAATGCGGTTCATACGAACAGTTTCTTTTGGTTCTTACACCAGGCATTTGTACACTTTCACGTTTGCTTCACTAGGTTTAAGGTTTTGGTATTTGAACATTGGGTCTTGAAGAAAAGTAAACAGCTCATTTCTTCAATGTTTTACAAGAGCATCCTCATTCAGTGCAGCACTACATAAAGGTCGTTCCGAAACAGCAGTGAATCTTCTGCCAAAAAATAAAAAGGTAGGTCTTCCTTTAAAAGGGAGGCCATAACTTTGAGCTATCTCCAACAGAATTGTTCATACCTGTGAAGTGTAAACTGCACATGAGGCTGGCAGTGGCCACTCAGTTTGATTTATCAGGACTCTGTCTAGGTTGCCTCTCACGCAGTGCCACAACACACTTGGTACAGAAGGATGAGTAGGGAGGAGGAAGGAGGGGAAAGGAGCAGTAGAGGGACCTCTGAATCACTGGAGCTAAACTAACATGTACAAGTGCAAAGTCTCCAGCCAAGCACAGTCCACTGCCACCTCAGCACCATGTATGATATATTCTAAACTGACAGCTCAAAAGCTTAACATCAAATCCAATAAATCCTATTCTGAGGAACTAAATCAACTCATGACAACCCACTCTCCTATACTCCATGTCAAGAAGGGAAGTCATTAAAATATACTGGAAACAACAGGTCAAGCAAAGTAACATTCTGGGCAGCAGATCCATTTTCATTACAACTACTGTGTTTTGTACATTTTAGCTAGTCTTTGACATCTGCAATTACACAGCCCATTTATAGGCTTTTCTCCATACTCCAAAATGTACATTCATTTCGTTTCTCCCTGTATCTTTAGAAAAAGGGAGCTTACAACGCCATTTCCTGGCATCTCATTCACAGTGGTCTGTGCTAAGATTTCAGCATTACAAAGTACTTCAGTTTCCGTGAATCCTGGGACGGACTGCTCTGAAGAAACAGAAACCAGC